ATTCTTTTTACACTTTTTACAAATGAATGCTTAAGTAGGCATTCACAAAATTTTATTTTTAAATATTCAGATGACACAGCCATACTAAGTTTACTCTATGTGCATGACAATATTAGCACTATTTACCATTCAGAAATAAGTCATTTTGTTGACTGGTGTGATAAAAATGAGCTAATAATAAATACAAAGAAAACGGAAGAGATTGTATTTGATCCAAAATGTATAGGTGACCATCGCCAAGTGGTTATACATGATCATAATATTATTCAGTCACAGACCTATAAGTATTTGGGCGTTTACATAGATAGTTCACTTACATGGAAAACACACATTGAATGGGTTTGCACTCGACTACAACAGAGATTGTATTTCTTACGTAGGTTACGTCTCTATGGAGTAAACAAGAATCTTATGCTGCTGTTTTATAAAGCTGTTTTAGAAAGTATTTTTAGGTATGGTATCACAGTGTGGTTTGGTAACCTATCAGTACAGTTTAAATCTAAGTTGATGCACCTGTTATTGACAGCATGGAGAATTGTTGGGCATGATGAACATTTTAACCTTCAAGATTTGTATCAGGAACGTGTTCTTAATCCGGTAGAGAGGATTCTTAGTGCTCAAACTCGGATTTCTTGTATTTACAATATGAACTACTTCCCTCTGGTAGAAAATATAGAATCCCAATGTGTAAGTTAAATCAATATAATAATTCCTTTGTACCTGTATCGGTGCGGTTGTATGACAAGAGTTCATCTTGATTTTATTTCTTGATTTTACTTAATTTTGTTTTTATATGTTTATTGTATGTCTGCAGCAACATGTAGTCCATAACAATTTTCCTCTTGAGGACAATAAAGTATACTACTACTACTACTACTATCAGCAAATAAGACAGAAAAACAGATGTATAGACAGCAGAGATTAATAGAGAGAGATGACAGGTAAATAAGGTTTCAAATTAAGGACCTGTCTGAAACAGCTGTGAAACATTCAAGTATTTACATACTTTGAAGCTTACATTGCAAAGTCATAAGAGTACTTATACTTAATGTACAGCATATACTTGTACATTAATTTAAATTCTGTCAGGACCACTATCGTCAAAGATGATTGACAACTAGCATACAGTTTGGATTGGCGGTATGGTTCCGTTCTGGGCAAGAACTCCCTGCGCAATGCAACAAATGCCTCGTTTATAATGGGTTTTCATGTTTTTGTCTCGTCGCTCCGGCCGGGACACGGCATCACAGTATGTGGTAAGGGGCGTAACATTTCGGTCACACTCTTGAGGTATTCGGCCAATCACAACGCACTGGATAGCTGGCCAATCAGAGCACACACCTCACTTTTCAGACCAATGAGCTTTGTAAAAAATCGATGCGTTTCAGAAAGGCGGGGCATAGAGGAGAAACAATAATGTACAGTATGTGGAAAATAATGTGTTTTTTGAACCTTAAACCGCATAAACACATTTCATTACACCAAATACACAAAATAATGTTCTTTTTAGCAACATCATATGACCCCTTTAACGTGTACTTGAAGTATACTTGAAATAGTTTCACTTTAGCACAATCAAATATACTTAGTATATCTTTAGTTGGACTTCAGCACTACTTTCTTACAATTAAAGTGCATTAAGCACAAAATGTAAAATTGTTCCAACTTTAAGTCTACCAGTTTAGTATACTAAAAGTACAATTGAAAAGCATTTTATTAAGCACATAAATATAAAAAATATAAAATAAATGTATTTCAAATACATTTTAGTTTATTTATCTTTCACTTGGGACATACCATCAGAATGTAAGTTATTGGTTACTACCCACTAGCTAGCTACACCTTGCTGGCAATGAATTCTGGATACTTCATTTTCTCCCTCATCATCCAGCTCTTTGTCACAAAATAAGATTGTGAAGTATTTTTGCGAAGTTTCTGTATTGATAATACATCTTCAGCAGTAAAAAAAACGTGTGTAATTTTGGTAGTAGACAGATCTCATCAAGAGCTTTCATTTGATATATGTGACCCTTGACCACAAAACCAGTCATAAGTCGCTGGGGTATATTTGTAGCAATAGCCAAAAATACACTGTATGGGTCAAAATTATCGATTTTTCTTTTATGCCAAAAATCATTAGGATATTAAGTAAAGATCATGCTCCATGAAGATATTTTGTAAATTTCCTACTGTAAATATATCAAAACTTCATTTTTGATTAGTAATATGCATTGCTAAGGACTTCATTTGGACAACTTTAAAGGCGATTTTCTCAATATTTTAATTTTTTAAATATCAGATTCCAGATATTCAAATAGTTGTATCTCGGCCAAATATTGTCCTATCCTAACAAACCATATATCAATGGAAAGCCTATTTGTTCAGCTTTCATGTGATGCATAAATCTCAATTTCGAAAAATTGACACTTATGACTGGTTTTGTGGTCCAGGGTCACATATACATCTCCATTTCACCCAAAATGTCACTTACTCCCTTCTGGTTCTCACCCCTCAATATATTTACATTTACAATTAGTCATTTAGCAGATATATAAAATATATAAATATAATATATATAAAATATATAAATAAAAGCTATATAAAAGCTAACATGGTTCTGATTCTGAGATGTGAATATTGTCACATACTTATCGGGGTCAGCTCCTTTGAAGTAGGCACTGACTGTCTCTGTGAAAGCTGCAGCCACAGGCAGTGTGTCCTGGGCCCCCATGGTGAGGGGACTGGGCCCTCGAGAACAGCCTGAGAGAACAAAAACACACACGTGGAGTTACAACGTGTTTACAGACAAAACGCAATTTCGGTCAGTCACTGAGATAAAACACAGAGGCAAATATATGGGTGACAAAGAATGGGAAAAATGGAAATACAAACAAATAGACAAACAAAACATCTCGCAGTTTATGAGACAATCAGCGGCTGACAAGACTAACTTCTTCATTTGTATTTTAGCACTGCACTTGAACCCAGACCTAAAATCTAGAACAACACCTTCTTCAGATGGACTCTATTTTCGGTTTACGTTCCTTGACCACATTGTAAGGACTTATCAGTAAAGGTGTATTTAATGTTTATTGTCTTGTTTTAAGCAAGCTTGATCAAATTTTGAATGTTAAATAGGCTAATCATGATTAGATTTCACCTCAAGCATGAGTTTTCAAAGCATGAGTTCACTAACTGGGCATACAAATGGATGCCCATACTGAAGTTGCAACACACTCTTGTTTTAAGAATATTAAACAAAAGAAGAAGAAGAAGAAGAAGCAGCAGCTCACACTTGATTTTTAACTAAAGTAAAATCATGCAGTTATTTATATGGCTGAATTTGATCAACTGAGCAGCAAAGACACTTGTAAATAAAGTGCCATTAAAACCATTAAGTATATCTGTATTAATACACATATTACACATAATATTCAATGTTTTTATTGATTCTAAGGAATATTAAATCTGGTTTTGTGCGAGTGGGATGAGAATTACAAGGAATTTAATGATTCTAATGAGGATTCCAATTTCAATGCTTTTGGTTCCTTAATGATTAAGTAATCCATAATAATAAATTGGGAACAATTTGTAACCATGAAATCTAAAAATTACACTATAACAGGTCTAGTACCATTTTCATAAGATCTTTTATTCAGAAAATTTTAAGTGTGCCTTAAGATTTCAAAAGTGTCTAATCATTAGTAAGTATACTGTACCGTGGTACTGTATGTAATATGGTATTTTAATCACTGGAAACGATCACATAATCACAAGCTGATTTTGAGTACAGCTGGACATCATTAAAATCATAATTTCTTGTTAAATGCAGTTTAATGCTTTTCCATGTGAAGATTTTTCTAGTCTTTTTTTATTTTATTTTAAATTTTAATTCAATTGCATTCATTTGGATTCATAAGAACAACCAAGGATACGTGTAATATATACAAAAGATGGAAGAGGAAAAGTACGGAAGCTGAAACAGAAAACACTCAGCTTCAATGGCATGCACCTGAAGCTGAAACAGTGATCCAAGACCAAAGTCAAAATGAAGAGATCAAAGCAGATGAGCCACAAAACAACAAGAACGAGAAAACATACAGTATTAGTGACGAAGGTAAAAATATGATGATCCTTGAAAGAAAAGAAAACCTGCCAATGACTGTAAGATGAACAGTTATATGGCAAAGCAGAAATACAGAGCAAAGCAGATGTGTGGAGGACAAGCAAATGCGTCACAGCTGGTTTTGATGAAGGGACGAATGCATGAGAAAAAGGGGGAAGTCAGATGTCAGATGAGACTTGAGTGTGCACGCGCTACGTCCTTAGATATTAACCCCAACTTACCTTCAAAGGTTAAATAAAACTTGCCTCTGTCAAACCACACGAGGGAGGGCTGGTCTGTCTCTGTGTTGGAGGGGGAGGAGGTATAAGGATGGGGGAGTGAGGAGAGGCAGGGAAGGAGAAGGGGGAGAGAAGGACAGTAGCGTGAGTCACACACAGGTCCATCATATGGCACAGTGATGGGGGCCAGGGGCACAGGTCAAAGATGGTCACAATTCACCTCAGATGGAGATGACTAGGACATGTGAAACACAAATGTTGCACAGGACACTGGGCAAACAAACAAACAAACAAACAACAACAAAAAAAAATCAATCTAATTCAATTTGTGTAGTTATTAGTCATTTTATTTGCAGGAAGACTTCAAGTAAGAAGATAAGGTGACATACAGCTTCTATTAGCTTCAGATTAATAGTTAGTAACGCATGTATAAACTTCTGTTTTAAAGTGCATTGTCTATTAAAGGCCTTTTCAACAACTGAGAATTGATGTTTTTGAGATCTGGGGAGATTTGAGAATAAAAATGATATTCTTACAAATATTTCAAAATTCTGATTCATTTATGTATAATATCAGGACAGATGAAAGCTGGAAATGATTTGAGCTGCTTATGAATTAAATCTTCTAGATTCAAGGATGACATTAAACAGCTTATTATTAAACTTTTGAAGGAATAGATTTTCCAAAATGGAAAGTTCTGTCATATTTATTCACTAGGGGTGTAACGATTCACTCGTTTTCTCGATACATCGATTACAAACCCTGACGATGCAATGCATCGATCTTGAAACATGGATTTTTGAATCGTCGATTTCGGACAGTAATCGATTTAAAACGCTAAGAATCGAATGAATCGCACGAAAGAATCGATTCAATGCTTTCAAAATATACACACATTAAATGACTACAAGCATGAATTAATGGAGACCTTGAACAGTGTTCGTGCCCTCGCATCTCTCCTTCACGCGCTGCACTATTTACCGCCTGCAGGGACTGTCACAGGATTGCGCTCGCGCTCAGTTCGTCTCACTGACACATTTTTTTGAGCCTTAGGAAAAAAATATAGATTACAAATGATTGATTATTGTCCAGCAGTGTAGTTGATTTCTTATAGCAAACTCAAAGTAAGAGATAAGAAAATAATTCCTTGTAAAAAAAATAAAAATAATAATAATACATACATACATACATAAAATTATTGTATTTGACATTTCTGTCACATCTGAAATTATGGCTACGCCCCTGGTGTGACAAAATGCTAGCTTATATAATACTTTTAAAGCTCTTTTTTTAAATCTTGGCTTACATAAATTTCTACATATGCCATGTCATGCCATAGCATCATTAAACTAGCATCTAACAATAGACAAAAGTGTTTTTTTTTTCTAACCTATGGTCCTCTAACCATAAAGGCTGCTGTGTAATTTGCCCCCTGACTAAGCATTTAAAGAATTTAGGGGAAGCATTTAAATAATCCTGTGAATGCACTTAAAGAATGCAGGATCGAATCAAATCAAATTGAATTCTGAATCGAATCGAATTGAATCATTGTGAATTTGCAAAAATCGTTTTTTGAATCGAATCGAAAACCTATGAATCGTGAATCGAATCGATTCACTGTCTGCCCAAAGATTCACAGCCCTATTGCACACTGAAGGTCCTTGCACACTGAGTCCGATGCGTATTAATTAACACTTTGCAAAAAAAAAAAAAAGCAGTGAGGATGATTTTGTTGTCCTCTGTCTTAAAAAGAGAAAAAGAAAGAGGAAATATTGGATCCATCTAAACCTGAGATAGTGCAGAGAGGAAGGAGAGTTCCACCTCCTTATCAAGGAGCTGCGGGATTATCCCGGGCGATTCAAAGTTTACTTCAGGATGTCAGTGGCTCAGTTTGATGCTTTGCTAGTGATACTAGAGCCACATATTAAAAAGAAGACCACCAATTTCCATGAACTCAGTGTGCAAGGACCTATACAGTGCTTTGTGCTGTGAGACGAAGTGGATCAACTTGTCAGACGCCATTCTGAATTTTGGTGTTCACTTGTACGGTGGCTCTGAATTGTCAAAACACCTCTCAAAATGCTTGCTACAGATGCGAAAAATGCAGAAAATCGAATCTGATCCCAACTTTTTTTTATGACGGATGAAAGTGTAGGAGGCAGTGTGTAAACGTGATTGACACAGCATGAGTTTTTTTTTTTTTTTTTACGTGCGAAAATTTCGGACTGTGTGCAAGGACCTTAAGTCTTCTGAATGTGAGGAGCTTTGTGTGAGGAACAGACTGAAATTTAAGTTGTTTTTCATGAATGAGTTGTTCTTCACTGATGTGTTTCTTGAGTTTAATGATCCTTGCTGGAGAAGAAGAATATCAACACAGTGATTTCAGTCTGGTCCTCACACAACGTATAATATAACAAAAGTCTGGACTAAATATGGATTACGTTTATGGTGCTTTTATAATGTAATTTAAGTTTTAAGTAGTTTTTGTTCCATGGAAGAAATAACAGCAAAGGGGTTTAGAACAACATGAGGGTCAGTAAATTATGACAGAATTTCATTTTTGGGTGAACAATTTAAAAAAATCATTTATAAAGTGCTTTTAGTTGCCTAGAGCTTGTGTTTTGTGAAAAGTATATCATGCATATTTCTTATATATTTCTGATATGTGAATGGGAGGAGGTAGCTGCAGTAGGCGTGATGGGCAACAGGGGGCGGTAATGAGTGACAAGAGGGAAGAGTAAATGAGGGCTTCTTCTACTGTGCTGGAGAGGGGTAATACAATTTCAGACAAAACCAGGAGCAGGACTACGAATGAAGTGAAGATCATTTAAGCAATGAGAAGATGTGAGTTGTACAACATTTCAATGTGTTAACTTTAACAAAAAAAAAAATTGATGTTCGAAAAATTAGTACCTGGAATAGTGCAATAGAAGATCAACTGAATTTGGACTTGGAAAAATTACATTTTGCATATTGCAACCCAGGGAGATGTAAAACATTGAATGCTAAAAATCTACTTTTAAGCAAATAAATTAATTGTCTAGATTCTAGATTGTTTAGATTCTAGATTCTAAATTCTTAACAAACTTATTTTTTTAGAGAGAAATAATTCTGTTGATAACCTGCAGAACAAATGCTTGCTTTGAACAGCATTCCATACAGAATACTGTAATATTTTACATAAATTGCCCTATATCAAGAGCAATATTGCCATACTGTATGCTACCTAGGCGATATATAATTTTCGCATACATACATTCTCTGGGTAGATGAAGATATAATTTTATAACATATATATAAAATACCCACAGTAACATGTTTATAATACCTATATGATGATTTTTAAACATTTGTAACTACCATAAGTCAATAATATATATTTTTTATTTATGCAACTTTTATATTTACTTATATAATATTACCATGTATTGTTGGATTTTAAGATGGATATGTATTATACATTATACATGAATATCTGTATGTGCTAGATATACATCTTAATATATTAAATTGTTCCAATTTCTAATAGGTTTCTTATATGTTTTTACTTAATTTAACAGTACATTTTGCATTTGTGTATGGGATAATTTATCCTCAACATCTATTTGCTATGAGTCTTTATACCTGACAATCAAACAACTGCAAAAATAAAGGCAATGCCATTTTGTTTCCTTATATGTCATCCTCAGAGAATCACATACTTTATGGTTGAAATTATCAAGTAGAATATGTTACATTTGACTTTGAATGAGATGCAGCATAGATTGTGTGGATGTTGAAGATCAAATTTAAAGATGTGAATTTCACCTGTGAGGATAAAAATTATGTGGCAGTAAAGCTTGACATTTGCAGCATGACGATGTTAGAAATGCTTTTACCCAGGTGCAACATCAGAGAGCTCTCCACTCAAACTAGTGTGACGGTAGGCATACTGATCAGCTCTGCTGCCACTTGGGCCAAATTCCAGACTGCACTTCAAACACTGAGAGGCTGTGTTTGTGTGTGTGTGTGTGTGTGTGTGTGTGTGTCATCTGTTCAAGCAGGATGGTGGTGCTCTTTGAGTTTTCTGAAGAGTCTACAGCCAGACAGATGCTTTTCAGGGACTAAAAGACTCTTCTGTTCCTGGTTCTTGATGTCAGTGCAGATGTGAGATGAGGGATGTTGCATAACTGTTACAGGCAGAGCAATCTCTAACATGTATGATGAGCTAAACAGACATGTTCTCTTGTATGAATGTGAAGAGCAAAATATGACAGAAAGAATTAAAAATGGATGGATTAAATACTGTGGCAAATAGTGCTGGACTGTAATCAACATGACAAAAGTAAAGGGGAAAACACCTTTCAAAATAAATGTGCTAAAAATGCCAAACAGTCTTTGGTGAGTTAAAGAAATATTCTGGGTTATTTACAATTAATGTTTATGGACAGAATTTGAGGCCTGCTGCTGATCACTTCATAAAATACACATTTATTATTATTATTATTATTAGTGTTGTTGTTATTATTATTAAAATAAAATAGAATATCTGGTCACAAGTGTGTGTTTATTATTTTATTTTACTATACATTATTTTTTTACCGGCTTCAAATGTGGCTCATCCAATCAGAATTGAGAGTACAAACTATCCATTTTTATTCTATCAAACTATCAACTGTAAATTTCCCTCAATTATCTGTTTGATGCAAGACTACTTGTTTACGTGGAGAATTTTCTAGTAACCAAATGTATTAGCAAAAACAGTGGAGTTTGCAGAATTTAGCCTCAACTTCGTTTATGTTCCATGTGTATTTTGGGGTTGTGATACCAAACGAAAATAACCAGGTTTACTTTTTAGCTGCTCAGACACTGAATATAACTTTGTACAGACCAGGCTGTATGCAGTTTTATCACACCAGTCTGCAATCAAGCATCCAATTTTTATAGTTATACTTTAATTAGTTACGGTTTGTACTGTGAGAGTAGCATATTTTCAAAGTTTATTGGCTGTGTTGGCAGCTTTAATGCCAGGCGTCCATTATAAGTGCACTGCTGTAATCAACAATGAGCCACAGTTTCTGCCCATGGACATTAAGCCATAAATGACCTGGAAAAATCCTTTAAAGACTCTTTACATGAAAATCAGCTCATTTTCCATCTTATTTACAAGTTTAGTCACTGGTGTAAATGAAAACGATCACCATGAATGAGCTATGCTCTGACAACTGACACTATGGGAAATGTAACCATTGGTTACATTGTTGAATCAGTAGTCTCCATCCCCATCCATTAAATCAGGAAGAATTTATACAGTAGCATACCTGCTGGCATGTCTGCCCGTCTCTCAAAGCTGGGAAGTTTGTCTACAAATGCGTCATCTTCTGACATCAGATAATTACGTCAGCCCAAAAGACAGGACAAGAAAGACGACAAAACACAAACAAAAAATAAACGTAATTCAAATCAAATGACAAATAATTCCAAAGAAAACCAAAAAGGTCACAGTTATTAAACTCAGACAAATGGAATGGTGAGAAAAAAATGACCAAAGCTGAAAAAAATCCAAAAGGATGGAATAGCACAAGCAACAGATAGACCTACATCCAACAAAAGCTACAGAATCTTGACTCACAAAACAAAGTAGTTTGCAAACCTCAGGAAACGCTGATACTGAAAATACACTCAAACTAGTGTGACGGTAGGCATACTGATCCGCTCTGATGCCACTTGGGCCAAATTCCAGACTGCACTTCAAACACTGAGAGGCTGTGTTTGTGTGTGTGTGTGTGTGTGTGTGTGTGTGTCATCTGTTCAAGCAGGATGGTGGTGCTCTTTGAGTTTTCTGAAGAGTCTACAGCCAGACAGATGCTTTTCAGGGACTAAAAGACTCTTCTGTTCCTGGTTCTTGATGTCAGTGCAGATGTGAGATGAGGGATGTTGCATAACTGTTACAGGCAGAGCAATCTCTAACATGTATGATGAGCTAAACAGACATGTTCTCTTGTATGAATGTGAAGAGCAAAATATGACAGAAAGAATTAAAAATGGATGGATTAAATACTGTGGCAAATAGTGCTGGACTGTAATCAACATGACAAAAGTAAAGGGGAAAACACCTTTCAAAATAAATGTGCTAAAAATGCCAAACAGTCTTTGGTGAGTTAAAGAAATATTCTGGGTTATTTACAATTAATGTTTATGGACAGAATTTGAGGCCTGCTGCTGATCACTTCATAAAATACACATTTATTATTATTATTATTATTAGTGTTGTTGTTATTATTATTAAAATAAAATAGAATATCTGGTCACAAGTGTGTGTTTATTATTTTATTTTACTATACATTATTTTTTTACCGGCTTCAAATGTGGCTCATCCAATCAGAATTGAGAGTACAAACTATCCATTTTTATTCTATCAAACTATCAACTGTAAATTTCCCTCAATTATCTGTTTGATGCAAGACTACTTGTTTACGTGGAGAATTTTCTAGTAACCAAATGTATTAGCAAAAACAGTGGAGTTTGCAGAATTTAGCCTCAACTTCGTTTATGTTCCATGTGTATTTTGGGGTTGTGATACCAAACGAAAATAACCAGGTTTACTTTTTAGCTGCTCAGACACTGAATATAACTTTGTACAGACCAGGCTGTATGCAGTTTTATCACACCAGTCTGCAATCAAGCATCCAATTTTTATAGTTATACTTTAATTAGTTACGGTTTGTACTGTGAGAGTAGCATATTTTCAAAGTTTATTGGCTGTGTTGGCAGCTTTAATGCCAGGCGTCCATTATAAGTGCACTGCTGTAATCAACAATGAGCCACAGTTTCTGCCCATGGACATTAAGCCATAAATGACCTGGAAAAATCCTTTAAAGACTCTTTACATGAAAATCAGCTCATTTTCCATCTTATTTACAAGTTTAGTCACTGGTGTAAATGAAAACGATCACCATGAATGAGCTATGCTCTGACAACTGACACTATGGGGTTTCAGACAGTGCGCGAATACCGAGTTGATTCCTCTTTCACGTCTCATTGCGTTTGAGATTCATACACATAAAATTAGCTTATGTCAAAAAACCCTTCTCAGCATTCTCATTCTCTGCTTTAAATATATTTTTTCTTGCTTATCTAAAAAATCTGATCCGTGAATCAAAACCACAATATGATCTAAAATTATATATATACAGTATATATATATATATATAAACCCCACCCCACTCCAGCCGCTCCGCGAGAATATTTTCAAAATATAACCGGTCCGTGGTGTAAAAAAGGTTGGAGACCCCTGATCTATAATATCCAATTAATCCTAACAATATTTCCACTTAAATATGACAAAAGACAAACTGAAATACAAACTATTATGTGGTGTATCAGCAAATCTGTATTTTTAGCAAACCAATTAATCAATGCAGAATGCTGGAGATTTCACTTCAGTATTTTAAACAAAACAGCATCATCACCATACTGTTTTGGTCCAAACTAAGCCAAAGCTGTGAAAATATTGACAATGAATTCAAAGCTGAATTCAAAACCGTGCTGAAAACTGAGAAACAGAGACCCTTGTTTCGCCAAATTCTAGTTTGAAAGGCAATTTCCAGAGCAGACACATAAAGACAAAGCAGCATGGCAAAGCAGAGAGAATGATGGGAAATGGAGTCACACCTGACACAGACACGGAGAGCTCTTTACCGACGGTGGGAGTGGTGGCGGCACTCAGAGAGTTGGTGGAGGAGATTGAAGAGGTGCTTTCTGCACGGGCCAACGGAGCCAGAGGAGGGGGGCTTGACGAGTGTACAGGGGGGCTGAACGGCCGATTCTGACAGGAAAAGCAGGGAAAAGGAAGAACAGACAGAAGGGAAGTTAAGTAACAAAAAAGTAGGGGTTTGTCATTCTGGTCAGGTGATCAGGAGGAAATTTACACAAAGCATGTTGTGGTAGTGTTTCTTGGATTTGGTTTCAAGGTTTTTATTTAAAGAATATTAGATACGTAGTAAATATCAACCTAGGCTTGGTCTGGTATTTTGAGGGGTGAGTTCTGACATCTTATAAAAGTTAAAAAAATTACATAGGCCATGGAAAGGTCAGAGACATTGAGAATTTGTTGGGAACTAACAGGGACAGTAAAGGGCCTTTCGCACCGCTTTAGTTCCAGAACTAAATCTACAGTACTAAAGTACTGGGACGATTTTGCGCTATTTCTAACTATTTCCCAGTACCATTTAAAGGGTTGCATTCGCACCAACAGTGTGTACTATGAAGTGACGTAAGCCGGTCGACAGCAACGGTTAGACCCTGCTCCGGAGTAGGAGCTAATTTGGTTCTCGAAAAAGGCAGTCCGGTACTAAAATCGCACCCAGTTCCGGCGGTGCGAAAAAGCCAAAAAGTGGGTAGTTCCACAATTAGTTCTGCTACTATGAAAAGGTTCCCGCGGTGCGAAAGGCCCTAAAGTTACTATTTGAAAGTACTGTAAATTTTTCATGTTATCACGTACCACGTCCCCTATGCTTGGTTTCCCAGGTGGCAGTTTGGGTCGTGAGGGTGGCCGAGGTGGGGGAGGGGGAGGGGGAGAGCTGCTGGTATCCAATGGTGAAGAGGGAACTGCAGGGGAGGAGGAGCCTGTGGAGCGAGAGTATTCCGTTAAAGCAAAGCCATTCAAAGAGTAACATGCATCAAGCCCAATCAAGAGCTCTTCCCAATTCAGAAAAAAATTATTGTACATTCAAGAACGTATGATACTTGACTGGAATAGCCTCAGAAAATATCTATACAAACCAATCCGTTCAGATTAAATAAAACTTTAAGAGAAACCATCACACTTTACACAGAAACTGGCAGAGATTGCGCAAACAATGAAAACAAAAACATGATGTGTATCTTTGAAAATTAGGATGCATGATAATGGCACATAAAAGTAGATGCATGACGCCCCTGATTAGAGCACTGCCAAAATTTGAAACCCAAAAATGTGGTAGTACCATTACAAATAGTAAGACTATATGTGTCTATATATAGAAAATAATGAGGCAAAAAGTTGTCAGATACCCTTCATCCCTCTTACTAAGAAGGCACTTCTGTAAAAACCCACATAACATGATGGTGACTGGAGCAGAATGACTCAACCAAATTTATATGTATTTTCAACATGCAGAACCTTTTGATACTGCTTATTACCTTAGGGTATATTCTATTAATCAAAATCTGTTATTTCCCTAATGTGGATTGTGGTTTCATTGTTTGAGGGCTAGTTCACCTAAAATTTAAGGCTGCAACTAATGATTATTTTGGTAATGAAATGATAAAGTGACAACTGGCAGATGTTTTCCACACACAACATGCATTTAATCGCTAATTTGTTGTTGATTATTTTCACTGAGCTTCATTTAGTTGTTGTAGCCCTACTAAAATTACTCTGTGATCATTGCTCATAATCCAAAACTGAGCGACTTTGTTTTTTTCAGGGGCACATACAAGGTAAAGTTTAGCAGAACATCTAAGCTGCTCTCATTCATACAATAAATCTGTATGGGGACCAGCAGCTGCCTGACAAGCTCCAAAAAGGACCAAAAAGCATCATAAAAAGTTCATACAACACATGCTCTATATTTCAAATATTCTGAACCCATATGATACTGTAGCCTTGTGTGAGGAACAGACTAAAAATTTCATTGAAAATCACTTTCAATAAATGGAAAGAGAATCTTTCTGTTAATTACTCTTTCTGTGTTCTACAGAAACCCTCATTCAGGTTTCAAAAGACAAGTGAAATGTGAAAATCTTTAATGTTCTGTGATCGCTGGCCCAGTTGACAGGACTCACCACTTTCATTTCCACTCGTACCAGCTGGAGGGATGGGCCCTGGGGATGTCACTACCGCCCTGTATGTTGGAGGTGGAGGAGGAGGAGGTGTCGAACGTGGTCCTTGACCAAATTCTTTGGGTGAAGCGCTGCTCTCACTTGGGTCCTCTTTTGATGGGGTCTCCTCAGGGCTCTTCTTGTCCTCTTGGTTCAGAACCAAGGGTGGAGGGATTGTGCGTTCACTTGTCTCTACAGTGGTTGGCGGGCTATTGGTTGAGTCTGATTGCGTCTCTATCAGAGGAGCACATGGCGCAAAGTCTGTGTTGGAGTGAGAAAGATCATCTGGTTTCGGTGGTGGTGGGGCCTCTTCAACCGGAGGAGGCGGGACAGTTGGAGGAGAAGGAGTGGTGTTTTTGGGAACAGGTGGGACAGGTGGGAGGTTATCCTTTGGCGACTCAATGGAAGGAGGAGAATGTGCTGGCTCTGCAGGAGGAGCTGGATATTTTGGTAAAGGAGGATTCGGCTCCTCTGATGGAGGGGGTGATTTAGGTAATGGGGGTGCTGGTTCTGCTGGGGGAGGTGGAGATGAGGGGAGTGGAGGTGCTGGCTCTCCCTCTGAAAGAGGAGGAGGTCTTTGAGGTGACTCATCATTGAAGCAAACCCACTTATCTCCAACATCTTGACCAGGTTTTGGAGAGTCTTCTGGGCCAAAGATGTTGTCTAGATCAGCTATAGAGGGCCTCTGCGAGGTCTGCCTTGAATTTTCCTCTTCTTTCTGCCCATCTGCATCAGGGACAATACAAATATCATAGAAAAATTTGAAAAATGATAAACAGCCCAAAAGCAAAAGGGAAGACAAAGGAAAAGGAAAGCAATACCTTCCCTACAAAAGAGATTTTTACAAAAGTACCAAAAGTCAAACACAAACAAAACCAGACACATACTCATTGGGGTCAGATATTGGTATAGACCAGGGGTGTCCAAACATGCTCTTGGAGGGCCAACTTTTCTGCAGATCTCCAATGTGCCCCAACAGACCTGCCTTGAAGTTTCTAGTATTCCTCAAGACCTTGATTAGCTGGTTGAGGTGTGGTTAATTGGGATTGGAACTACAGTCTGCAGAACAGTGGTCCTCCAGGATCAGAATTAGACACCCCTGGTATAGACTGAGGCCTGGGTGGAGGGGGATCTTACCGGTAGGTTCTGTAGCAGGAGATTCAATCGGAGGGGGGGAGGTCGGCACATTCTTAGGCGGAAGCGGAGGCAGAGCTGCAATGACATTAGTGCGGCTGAGACAAGCTCTCACATACGCCCCAGACCCACCGTAGGCCACGCCACCATGCCCCACAGCACCATGCAAAGGCAAGGTCTCATTCAGGTAGTCAGGGACAACAGAGAAGGACTGTGGCATGGAATGAATAGCTCAGACTCTATGATAACACTTCACTCCTTGTGTCCTAGTAATTCACACTATTTTTATTATTTAGGATGTTACATAATTTTTAAGTTAATATATGTAGAAAGAGCTCTTATTTGTTTAGTATGCTTTTACTAGGGCTTGCACAGACTAGTCAATTAGTCTATAATTTCTACAATTAGTCCTCTAGTCCAGGGGTTTTCAAACTGAGGCCTGTGGACCGTCAGGGGGCAACAAGGGTGCTTAGAGGTCGAGAAAATTTGACTTGGAAAAAAAAAATCATTTTACGAGAGCTTTCAAATTAAACATGTTTCTAAAATATATATTACATATTATTTAATAACACATACACCAAAGATTATATCATTAATATTTTGTTCTGCTTTCAAATAACTGGTCAGAAATCATTTATTTTATTCTACTTACATTCCTAGTGTTTAACCATGAGAAATCTTGTTTTATATTATTATTATTTTAATGGTTTATACAACTTACATCAACATAATAGTGACTAGAGAAATATAGAGTATATAATACAAAGATAATATTTATTAATTTGGCTTTAGTACAATGACAATAAGCAAATTATTATTTTTTGGAAATAACATGTCTTTATAATATCACACTTAATATGTTTCTCACACAATATAATGGGTAAATAAAGCAGTTTTTAGTCTAGTCTTTTATGTGGCAACAACAGGAAGATAATTCCTCTGCCCACAAGCTGCCTCCCAGTTCAGCTGCATGTTATTAGCCTTAAGTAGTAACTTATAACAGGCAAATATTTGAGTGCTTTGCAATTTTAAGCTTTCTCACCCGCATCATGTTAGCTGTGTTGAACAAACTTTGCAGCTGGCTGTCAGACCAGTCTTTGACTCATTTACTGTACATAAGATAAACACTGACTCACTTCGCAGTTGACTACTTTCCTAGACGACTAGTCATATAATTAAAAAAAATTAGTAGTCATGCAAGCCCTAGTACTGACACATTTATGTAAAAATACATTTAGAAATATATCACTATTAGCAAGCCAAACATTTGCTTCATTTAGCCTTATGCTTAAAATCAACCTGCACAGTGTCATTTTGCTTTTTTGCGGATTGGGCTGACAAAAAATAGGCCACATTGAGTAAACCGTCACCAAATTATATGAGTACAAGATGAGCTGGATGACTCTTAGGATTTTGATTGCTTTCCTGGCTAATGACTTAGAAATTAGTAGGTTAATGGAGACTGCCAAAAGGGAAAGTTATTTAAACAAAAATTCAGGGGCAATCATGATTTTTCCACTCAGACAACCGTTCACCGTTTTGGAACGTATGGGTTTATGATAGCAGGATGATGGCATTCATGCCACACAAGCAATGACTTACTTCCTGTAGGAAAAGGTCTTGCCAGAGAGGAGTCTAGGTGTTGCTCAGGCAGGGGTGCACCCCAAACCTCAGGTTCCTCTATCACCACTAATTTATGGAAGAGGACATGATACACAGTCGATGGTGGAGCAGAATTAACAACTGTGTGACTCACAGAGAGGAAGGAATCACCATGCAACACTTATCTATCCCTATTTCTGTAATAAATGGCCTATGAATCTAATTTATTTCATTTCAACTGCTGCAAATGGAATTGAGTGGGAGTCAACACCACTAGTAAGCACTAATGAATGTTCTGTTCTGTAGTTTATGTTACAGAAAGCTAAAAAACATCATCTTTAAACCCTCTGTGAGTCCAATGAAGACACATACTGTATAAGACACAGAAAAATTAATTTTTGTTCTAGTGAATGAAGTGAACATAAAGAATCTGGGCTGTGATCAAGTTCTGTCGGATTGTGAATTTTAAATTTCAGTGATCCTGTAAATGAAATATCAACATCCATAAGCAGCACTAAGGGATAAGGATATGGTCATAAACAGTACCTTCACTGGTCTTCTGCTCATCAAAGGCTGTCTCCAGCGGAGGGCCGAATAAGGCTGTTGCATCCTCTGGCACTGGAGATTTCTTATTACTGAAATGGAGGACAATTAAGCCAGATTTGCATGACTCATCCACACAGATGCACACCAGTCACATCCAGGCTGCAACTCTCAAATTGTCTAATATAATCCATTTAAACTCATTCAACAAATGTTTAAAAGACTTACATACAACGCTAAATCGCAACAACCAGGGTTATATACCGTATAACCACACTTGGTAACATGACAATTTTAGCATAGGGACCAATTCTCTCTATTTACTACAGTAGTTGCTTATTAGCATGCCTATTATTAACATATTGGCTGTTTATTAGTGCTTATAAAGCACATATTCTGCATGACCATATTCTACATCCCTAATCCTACCCAATACCTAAACTTAACAACTACCTTACTAACTATTAATAAGCAGCAAATTAGGAGTTTATTGAGGCAAAAGTCATAGTTAATGGTTTATTAATAGCGGGAATTGGACCTTAAAATAAAGTGACTCCACAATTTTTAAAATGTAAATGTAAAATGTTTTGTATTCTGGTTCCCCTTCAGGAACTCGAGCTGCGTCGAAACGCTATGGGATCACCTTCAGCGTGACCACGCTCTGAATGGGTGGGCGAGACGTCAGGGGCGGGGTGACGTAACGACCAGGAAGCTTAAAAGCATGTGCGGTGGAACCGGCGTCAGCTTTCTGTTATTCAGCAAGTGCTCTGTGTGTGTGTCAGTCGCTATCTGTTTGTGAGTCTTATTTAGTGTTGTTTGTCTACTTATAAGCTCCATTATGTCAAAGCTTCAGTCAAGAGAAGCATTTGGGCGAGAGCAGGCAGCGTTCGGGCTATGTGTGTTCCTCCCTGCCCGTGCTATATTCGGGCAGGGACACACACAGTTTTTGTGTTGTCTGCTTGGGAGCGAAGCACGCAGAGTCAGCTCTCGAGGGAGCTTTTTGTTTTTTCGTTTTGTTTCTGCCTTGCTTCGCTCTCAGAAGGCTCTCTTTGAGGAGGGAGCCTTCACTAGCGTTTCTCGCGGCGCTGGCCCCGCTTTCGCCGAGGCGGAGCGGCGGCTGTGCTCGTGGGTTTCGCATATGGATCT